TTCAACATGCTACAATTATTTATTTTTCATCTGACAGGACAAAACCCAGGAAGGAGTGTCTTGCTGTGCTCACAAGCCCATGCTTTGTTGCAGCAGGCTGTGGGGTGGCATCTAGAGACAGTCTCCCAAAGCAGCACCAGGGTTGGTTCCCCGTCTTCCCCCGTAGCCCAGCCCCGGCCGCAGTGGGCAGACCTTACACCTGGGCTGCAAATAAAGCCATCATTTTTTGGGAAAGGTGCTATGGAAATTACTGACTGTAGTGAAGTAGATGCTTGGCTTCGTATTATGTTTTGGCTCATCAACAAAGGACAAGATTTCAGCTTTGAAGGTGGTATGTTTAACAAAAAAAAAAAATATCAAATTGGTGTTAAATTATATCATGAAATCCAGCATACTTTATCAAAGCCTTGTCTGGAGGCTGCCAGAGCCATTGATTTACCAGATTTTCTGCTATATGTTGCAGAATAAAATATGAAACATTTAAAGAAAACTTCGTTTTGTTCCACCTTCCTTCTTTTTGATTCTGTTTGGAAGGTGCAATGGCATGTTCTTTAAGGACTTCTGCTCCATTTCAGAGGCATTCATGGGCTCTTCCATATAGACAGTTTTATTATTTTTTTCCCATTCTGATGGGGCTTCTGGAAGATAATTGGCCAATTCCATATTAACTGGTAGTAAATTTATTCATTTTTAAAATAGGTTTTTTTAGCTTGCTGGGAAATGCCCTGGTAAGGAACAGAAAAGTGAATGATGCAGACAGCTGTGATGGTTTTATTTATTTTCTATTCTTTTTCAGATATAAGGAGGAGGAGTGAAGAAAAAGGACCTGCTCCCAGGTGACCCCAGGCACAGCCAGCTGGGGAGCAGTGCCACCACCATCCCTTTGGGAAGAGCCAGCAGTTCCTGCTGCAGGACACCAGTGCCCTTTTTTTCCTCACCACTTTAAAGAGGCTCTGTGGGAAAAAGAAATTCTAGGAGCCACGTCCACTGGTAGAGGTAAGAGCGGTTAAATGTGTGGGCTGCAGGTATCGCAGGGAGCTGTCATTGCTCGCTCCCCGGCGTTGTACCCCACTATGTGTGACATTTTCCTTTTCTTTTCTACTCCGTTGCTGCATCCATCCTCACACACGGGTGTGACCTTTGGAAACCTCAGGTGAAGGCACTTTGGTGAGACCAGAGCCACACAGATGTGACCTTCAGAGAGCAGATTTATTGCTGCTTCACTCCCCTGGGTAAGCTTGTCGCATTTGACTCACCAAGCTTTCAGCTGCAGAATTTAAGTGGTAAAAACACAGCTTGCTACAATAGGTTTCTTTCCTGTCCTGATGCCCTGTCTCACAGAGGGCAGGAGACGCTCATTTAGCACGAACCAGCACGGCTTCCTTGGCTTTAGCAACACAAGGCCCATTTACACCAGTTGGGAACTGCGCATGTCACTGGTTCCTGACTGTGCCTGGGAGCACCGAGGGGTGCCTCTGGCTTTCATTTGCCTCGGCAGAGCAGCCGGTAATTAACCGATCAGTTGGCTTTAACATTCCTGCAATAGTTTAAATGTGCCAAATTTTTAATGAACAGGGGTTTTTCTGATAGTCCATTTAACCACTTGAATTACTGTAACTAACCGCTGCAGTACTTGTTCTTTGAGGCGATGGCTTCCCAGACATGTACATACAAATGTGGGGGTTTGTGGATTATTTTTTTCCAGCCGTGACACAAACCTTTGAGAATTTGTTCTTAAATGTGTTGCTGGAGAGATACTTATTTTATCACTTCTGGCAAACCAGCTCTCCACATGGTTTCTTACTTTTTGTGCTGTTTTCAATCTGTACTTCTCCTACGCTGTGTGTATGAGCAGTGGTTTGTGCTGTCTCATGTAGGGTGTTTTCTTCTGGTGGGAGAGAAACCGAGAGCACAGGGAAAATGCAGCCACAGCAGAAATGCGCTAGTTCTTATCATGTGCTCTTCACAAACAATATGGCAACTTCTTTTTGCTGTTCTGTGTTAAGTGCAGAGATGGTGAGAACTGCAGTGAGCACTAGGATGGGATGTTAAATGAATTTTGAACAGGAAGAAAATATTTTTGGTCTTCTGGAGTTTTACCCAAAACTGTGGTTAACTCCATAGCTTTTAAAATACGTAATTGAGCTGCTGCAGAGCCCAGCAGTGGTGGCTGAGGGACATTGCAAACTGCAGCGCTCATACTTGAGCTGAAGCTGCCTGCAGTGTTTCAGCAGGGCCCTGGTTCTTTGCCTTTTGACATTTGCTGGCCTCTGCAAGGTAAGGTATTACATATATATAAGGTACTATATATGTACACACACATATATACAGTTTGAGTGTGTGTATGTTGGTGGTGGGATGTGGAGATGACCTCTTGATGTCAAGTCCACCCTCGCTTATTCTCTGGGTCTGTGAATTTGGGGCACTAAAAGCTGGGTAACAGGGATGTGAGCTGAAGGCAGCCTCCCCAGCCCAGTTCACCTATTCCTAATGGTTCCCAGCACAAGACAGGTGTCTCTGGTTCAGGCCTGGGATGACTTGGAAAAATCATTCTTCTTCTCAGAGGCTGCAAGGAGAGGGACCCAGACCTGGGGATGGTAAGGTGAAGAGCAACGCTTGCAAAGCCCTCCTGGGCAATCTGCACACCAGATTCAGTGCCAGCTCCCGGTGACACAGGACCCTGTGGCTCGGGTGCCAGGCCAGGAGTCCTACCACACCATGGACCTCGGTGGTGCTGGGAGCCGGGTCCTGACTCACACCCCTCCTGCGGTGAGTGTACGTTCATTTTCCAGTACGTGTTTCCTGCCAGGAGGCCCACAAGGCCCAGTTAATATTTTTAAGCACTCTGTTCTTTTCAGCCAGGCTGGTTATGGGTTGGTATAAATTCCTGCTGCATTAAGAATATGTCCTAGATTTTATTGACTACATTTGTGTCACCCACGTGGTGAGGCACTGTCGAAACACTTCGAATTGGCCAGTCTTTGTGCCTTTTTTCTTTTTTCTTCAAGGAAGGCATAAATTGCTCATTTTGAACGAATTTTTTTAAAAAATCTTAAGAGTGAGAAAATAGCATGTATGTGAAGACCCTATAGAAGGGTGGTACATCTGTTTCAAAGCACACAGACTGTGTCCCTAAGACAATTGTGGCATTTGTAACTCTTTCCATTCTGACTGTGCAAAAGAAAAAAAATTGCCGAAATAGCCATTGTGTGAAAACCACCAGTAAGTTTCATTTCCAAATGTGAAGTCATTTGTACTCGGCAAAGCCGGGGGGGCAGAGCTGCAGAGCAGAGGCCTCTTTGGAGAAGAAGGTGGCATCACATTGAAGTAGCAGCTTGTAAGTGTTTGGCTTCTGCGAGTCACTGGAGGAGCATCCTCAGGGATGGGAGACTGACCAGCTCAATGGAAAGGAAACCGAGTACGAGGAAACCAGGAAGAAACTGGTTATTTTACTCTTTCCCCAGGCATCCACTTTTGGTCATCTTTGGAGTCAAGATACCAGCAGTGATGAACCTTTTGCCTGACAGAGCTGCTCTTGCAGGACCGCTGTGTGCTGACGCTAAATGTGACCACGCTCCCATCTGTACCATGAAGCTGGAGACAACGTGGCAAAGAGCTTCAGAAAGGTAAAATATATTTTTAAAAAAGAATATTTTCAATGCTATCACAGCTCAGGCCACAGTTTCTGAATTACTGTGACTTAGCAAGAAAATTCCCCAAGCCAAGGTCCACATGCTTAAAGCTATGCAAGTTCACAGCCCAAGGACTCCTCTTCTGGAACACTCCAAAAAATAATGGGAGTCCTGCAAAGGAAGTGTTCCTCAACGCTGACTGTCCTACATGTGAACTAGCCAGGCTGGTTAAAGCTTAATTAAAAATTGCCAGAGTGGCTAAATTCTTTTCTAAGTGCAGCTGCAAAACGTTAGCTGTGGGCATATTTTAGACCTTAATTAGTAACACTTGCACTGAAGGACCAAAATCTTTCATGAATGCAGCTGCAATCAATTAATATCAGTTTGGCATTTCTGTAGGCAATACAAAGGTCTCCTGAAAATTGTGTTAGTGCCCACCTCGAATTAAAAAAAACAACTTACATGCAACAAACTACAAAATCAAAGATAACTACAAAATGTCTTTATTGAAAAAAGCAGATTATAGCATCTAAGGTTAAATGAAACTTCTGACTTTAATATTAAATAACTTAGGATGATAGCAAGTAGCTTCTTCTTTAGATAAATAAATCTACATTTCCCAATTTTTTCTTCAACAATCAAGGGAATCAAACACTGAAACACAAAACCACAAGTAATTCTAAAGACTAAAAGACAGAAGCACATTGAAAGGTTTTACAAGGATATATATACAAAAATAGTTAAACTAATGTATATTTTCAGCATGTAAACTAGTTACATGATATACAAACTGGGAATTTATATATTTCCTACAAAATAAAAATCAACGTTGGTCCAAGTTCTTGGAAGAAAACTATATTCTTTTAAAGAAAATGAAAATATTTCTCAAATGAAAACTTAATTTAAGTCAAATTATATACTCTAGTTACGGCATTAGTTACAGGATGAATCACAAACTTTTAAACTTTTCTTGAAACACAAGAAAGCAGCTTTTGTCTCCTTTAGAGCTTTGGTTTACTTAACTACTCTGGAATTTCTGGTCTTAAAGAGCTCCTCTAACCATGTTTTCCTTTTGAAGCTCCACCTTACAAAATATATACACACACGTGCACACAAGTGAAAGGGAAAGGAAAGCAACCCAAACAAACCCCCTTTGAAGGCTCAATTATCTGAGTGCATTCTTTTGTTTTGTTTTCAAATTATTATTTTGGTCCTTTCTTTGGAAGGCGCCCTCCGGCGCGGGGGGGCTGGGAATGGCCCCCACCAGCTCGGGGCTGGAGGGACCTGTACTGGGACGGTGGGGCCTGATGCAGACCAGGACAGGCTGACACTGGTTTAGCTTCACAGAAATAGTCTGAAAGAACAGCAAAGGCTTCTGAGGAACAAGCACATCATAAAATCAACTCTAGAAAGTTTACATGTGTTGAACTGATTTAACATATGAATACTCCTTAAGAAACGCATTAAAAGAAGCTTTCTCATTTACATAATTCCCCAGACAGAAGGTAAAATGTGCAGAAACTGTCACTAGCACTGATGAGTGCAGCACATCAGCATTTTAGGTTTGTTTTTATTTTTCTCTTTAAAAAAAAAAAAAACACCCAACCCTGGCAAATTTCACTCAAGCTCCAGTTTTTATACTAAATGCTGGAAAAGCAAAGATGTACTTAATTCTACAGAAAGGGAAGGCACCTGCCTGTAGGGAATACTGGACCAACAACTGCTGCTTTCTGATTTTAAAGGAATTGCTTATTCTATATTGAAATATTAGCTCTTGATAGTTTTGCCATGATGATACTTAACATGTTGGAACTGTGTAGAACTATAAGAGACTGACAAATTAACATGTAAAATGCAATTAAATATTATTGTGTTCTACAGTATGAAGAGTTTCAAAAAGAAGGAAAAGGTGGTATGTATAGCTTAGCTAGTGTGCTGGTCCTTGAAAAGTATCTCAGAGTGGAAACTTAAACTTGCCACTGAAGGAGACGTGTGTTTTAATGATTGGTTTCTTAATTTGGGTTCCTTAATATAGACTGTGAGGACAAGCAAGTAAAAATGCCTCAAAGCTCAATGTGGTCCAAATCAGCCTCCTTGAATGGCAGCAGTATGACACTGCAGCTGACGCTGAGAGTTTATCCCACAGCTCTGCTATCTTCCATGTTTGTACTAACCTTAAGGCATTGACCTAATCATACAATCCAATTTAAGACAAGTGGTTTTCCCCCCCTCTTTTCTAGCATTTGCTGTTTGGGCGAGAGGCAGATGTATTTCCCCTTCCCTCCGAGGCTGCGCTGGACACAGAGGTAAGGAGGCAAAGGCAGGAAAAGCCTGGATGCACCCAGCATCGTGGCTTTTTCAGGCCAGGCCTCTTGGGTCACGCTGTAGAAGCAGGGCACTAGTTGCACCCTGACTTCTTGAAAATATGGCTATCAATCACATTCAGTATGTTAACTATAAACTGATATATATTTATTAGAAAAATGACTTCTGAAAGGAGCATCTGACTTGCCAAGGAGCATTCAGTAGGACAGGTTAATCTAGGCCAGTGGAAGTTTGGCAAAAGTTCAGGGAACATACCTTTTGTTCCTTCCTAACAGGAAAAAAAATAGTTCCCAGGAATTTTTCCTGCCCACCCCCCTTCCCTCTTAAGGAAATTCCAGACTATCAAGAAATTCTGTTAAGGGAGTTAATTATTCCACTTAGGAATTAATGCCCATTGCATGCTCTTTGTACTTTTCAAGAGCACCACAAATGGCTTTGAAAAAATCAGTGGAGCATAAGAAAGTAAACTGTAATGGTGTTGCCAAATAAGTCATTTCATCAGTCTGTGGTGCTGAATTTAACACGGGATCGTTTCCGAATGGATCCATCAGATTCTTGATGAGTTGAGAACTGGCATGGAAACGTCCCAATTTACACATGTGGAGAATCTGGTCTGGTATTTCCACTTCCTCTGAAGCAGAAGAATTTTATTTTATTGTAATTTTGGATACAGTTAAAGACAGCAATGATGGATTTATTTAAAATATAAATTCAGGAAGGCTGGATCAATTCTCATGAGAATGCAAGGAATTTTTTAAACATACAGATGTGTGATTTGCATGTAAATCATCAACACATGGTAGAAAACAAACCATAAAAAAGATTCATCTAACTTCCTATATGGAAGACATATATTTCCCCAGAGCTCTGAGGTTACTGTAAAAGCTTATGCAAAATCTGAGTGTGTGTACATTCTATGTACATCTAATACTTGTTTTAAAATACCAATGTTTCAATGCTCTGACTCTCTCAATTATTTTGTACTTTGTTTTCCAATGAAGACAATCACCGAAATCAGTTCAAAAGTACATCCAGAAAAGAACACAAAGCTGAAAAGATAATACAAAAACCACTGTCCCCCTCTTCTTTTAATAATGTATCAACATACAATCATAAAGCAGTTGGCAACAAATGAAGTCTTGTATAAAACAAGCAGTATAAAGACAAGTGTACCTTTGCATAGAAAGGGGCTGCTCACCCTATGAAACAAAAAACCAGGTTTAAAAGATGAATGAATTCTGTGGTAAGTGCCAAATCATCAAGTTGCTGTGAATGCATTTTGAACCCACGGCTACACCCGGACACGGCAGGCAATTCCTCCAACTGCTGTGACCCTGCATGTGCCAATCTTTTAGAGATACCCCTCTGCAATGGGGCTTTTATACGAGATTTTTGCCATATTCCTTTAACAATAATCTTTGGATGACTCCGGAACCTTGCGGGCTGAAAGCTGGCCTGATGCTTCCTCACAGAATGCCATTATTTAACCCATGCTGAAAACTGTCATTGCTAAAAACACCTCTTTGCTATTCACTATTTCTGGGAACCTAAGTTTAAAAAAACATGTGTGACTGTACTCTCTAAAACCAGAATTCAAAAAAACTAGCTAAAATGCTAGCATTTATCTTATCACGCTGGCTGCAATATGATAAGGTGCTCAGTTTTGGAAAGTAAGTTACACTCCTTACTTGGGCAGTGAGTAGGGAGTGCAGAACAGCCCTTTGTACCACTGCGTTTAGAAATGCTGCCATTTACAGTTACAGTTTAGTGGTGAATTATTTGTTCAAGTAGACGGTGTCTCAGTGAAAACGTCTAGGTAAAAGAATGCATATGTACAAGATCAGAAAAGGACCCCTCACCTCTGATTTAAAAAATAAATAGCTGGTTTAGATGGGTATTACTGGAATCTCATCTTTAAAGGAACAGGAAAGTAATTTTTAGATTTTTGTCTTCTCTTTCAAACGGCCTATTGGTAACGGCAATGTCTTTCAGAGTTCTGTGACATGCATTGGGTAGCTGGGAGGTGGATGTGACGGCAGTTTAATATTGAGGCGCCTGATGTGACAGCCGTGGCACAGCAAGTGGCCCTCCAAGGGGTAACAGCGGTGGCCTTCCTCGTCGTTGAGCTGCAAGCCACAATCCTGGAAGAAACAGAAACGTCCCGGATTAACGAGTGCTTCAGGTAAGGCATCTCACAACAACACTGATGTGTCCTGCAAACCCCGAGAGCTCCCTCCCGAGCCCCCAAAGCCACCAGCCTCAAGAGTTCTGGGGAGGTGGACACTGGGTGTCTCATATGAAGCAAAATGACATCACTGAAATCCAACAGGACAGTCTATAGTGGTACCCAGCATTCTTCCCCACTCAAATATCTTCCTCATCTAATAAATACTTAAGCAAATCAGGTAAAACCAAGCCAAGGACTGACCCTGACACACACAACCTGGAAGAGATTAGATCAGAGAAGGAGTTAATTCTGCAACAAGGCAGCGAGCAAGGAACGGGGGAGCGCAAATAGAGAATGAGAGGAGTGGGGAAGGGGGAGAGATGAGATGTGTTTTACTTCTGAAGCAGGGCTACACATTCTCCAATTTGGAATTAAAAAAATATTAAAGACTTCAAGGCCAATGGTCCATCTTTGGTGGAGATGTTAGTACCTCTGGGACAGGCACAGACCTACAGGGACAACATGGGTGAGCAACAGCAGAACAGAGAGAAAAAGAAAAACAGCACAGAGTGATCCTGCTGCTGACTCTTACGTACACTGCGATAGAGACAATCCTGGTTTTCAGTTCTCATCATTATAATTTTGAGGACATTTTAAAGTCACGAAAATTTTGTGCTTGGTTTTGATGTTTCAAGTATGGTAAATACTTAAAAATTGTTACTGTGAGCAGTCCTGACAAACCAGAGACTCTGAGTACATATCTGTGCAATTAACAGAAAGGAAAATAAATCTGACCAAGTTGGGTAAATTCAACCCGAACGTCCAAACCCAACTTTGGAAGGTAATATACGGGGGGAAAAAACTGGTACTGGAGATGGCAGTGCCACTTGCCATGGGGTGGGCCAGCAGAGGCACCCGTCCTTACCTCGCAGTGGTAGCACTCCACGTGGTAGTCCTTGTCCATCGACACCACCCGAATGGTCTCCTCGGAGCCCTGTTGGGGAAGCAGAGAAGGTCAGAGTGGGCTCGTAAGGGCTGTCTTCTCAGGCTTCTTTCAGCACCCAACCTATGGCTCTGGAGAGCTGCTTCCCTGGGGGTCCCTCTTCCTCCACAAAGCTCTGTCACTGCTGGTTCTGCTCTTCAGCAGCACCGTGGGGATCTGACAGAGCTAAGCTGGAGAGGTCATTTGGGAAGTACGGCCAAAACTTCATCCTCGAGGGAAAAATTAGTCTTGAAATCAATTTTCCAAGGGCACCCAGGATCTGAACAAAAAATTATGAGCTGCTGATTGGGTAACTTTTCCTTGTGGAGATCCTGGCCTGAGCTTTCCAGGACTTGTATTCCCCTCAAACCATCTGTGGCACAGCTATTTTGCACGTACAATGGCACTGTACATACCCCATCAGGACTTACACACCAGCGTGGCAGGTAATTACGTGCACAGCTCCCAAGGGGTGGTGGCTGCCGGGGGGTTGTGTAATTCCCGGCTGAGCCCCGGGCCCGTACCCTTCTTGTAACCCCACAGACTCTCTCCCTGATCCGTGCTGAAGACAGAGCTCGTTCCCTGTGCTGCCTCGCATTGTCTCCAGTCCCAGGTGTGGTCAGAGCATCAGCTGTGACGTAGGCTGTGTCTGAGAGAAGCTGCGGGCGAGTCAGTACCTGCACCGCGAGACTTGGACCAACCCAGGCACCCTCCATGGGAAAGAACGTGCCGTCTCTCCTGCCAGCCACCACATGAGTCAGCACCACTGCTTTTTTTCCCCTTCTTTTTTTTTTTTTTTTTTTGAAAGTCATTTTGTAAGACACAAATCCGGTGTGATTTACGTCGGGGTTTTCTCCTCACAGCTCATCACCAGGACAAGCAGTTCTGGCTCAGCCTTTATAAGGTTTTTAAGCGTGGCTGCCCCATCCCTGGAGGGGTTCAAGGCCAGGTTGGAGGGGGCTTGGAGCAACCTGGGCTGGTGGGAGGTGTCCCTGCCCAGGGCAGTTGGAACTTGATGATCTTTAAGGTCCCTCCCAACTCTAACCATTCAGTTCTATGTGGGACCCGGCCATTTAACGGAACTAATAAAGGCAAACAGAGTGAGTGCAGGACCCCTTCTTTTTTTTCCCTTTTTTTTTTTTTTTTTTTTTGAAAGTCATTTTGTAAGACACAAATCCGGTGTGATTTACGTCGGGGTTTTCTCCTCACAGCTCATCACCAGGACAAGCAGTTCTGGCTCAGCCTTTATAAGGTTTTTAAGCGTGGCTGCCCCATCCCTGGAGGGGTTCAAGGCCAGGTTGGAGGGGGCTTGGAGCAACCTGGGCTGGTGGGAGGTGTCCCTGCCCAGGGCAGTTGGAACTTGATGATCTTTAAGGTCCCTCCCAACTCTAACCATTCAGTTCTATGTGGGACCCGGCCATTTAACGGAACTAATAAAGGCAAACAGAGTGAGTGCAGAGAGGTGGAGGTGTCTTCACACAGAATTCTTATATTTACTGTCAGGACAGGCCGAGGCTGCAGGCAGGTGATTCACCGAGCTCCCCTTTTCCTGCTCCACTGCCTTTTCCACCCCTTTAAGGCCTTTCCTTACACCCCAGGACAACAGGCTGTGTGGCCTTTTCACGGGGTCAGGGTAACCCTCACACGTCTCTTCAAATTTGGGCATCTTAACAGATCCACATCAGAAATGCTAACATAGCAGACAAGGAAAATTGCTACTTGAGCTAATGGGAGATTCTAAAAATAAACAGGGCTTTACTTCTTGGGTTGTTCTTGGAGCCCCAGTCAGGGCTTTCAATTAAATGTGATTTATAACAGCATAATTAAGACCTGGAAAGCACCCTAAAGATACAAAGTACTACGCTGCGTAAGTAGTATGACTATTACAACCTCTGGGAATGTTTGGGAGTGACATTACTGCTGAACTGCATTTAATTTAGCATCTGACATAGTATAGATTGTGGAAGAGGGAGGAAAAGCATCTGATGTGTTTTTAGAAAGTGTCAACCCCTGGTTTCCCCAGGGGCGAGCGCGGGGTAACACCCACCTGTGCTGGGAGGATCGGCTGGTTACAGGACGCGCATTTTGGTGCGAAAACCCTAGGGAGCAAGGACAAAGTGTTCAAATCACATTTCAAGCTTCAAAAAGCAGAACCGAGAGAGTTATTCTAACTATGCCTTGGTTTTAGCAAAATGTAGATCCACAGGATTTGAAACACCTTTACGTGATGATATTCAGGGAAAAGGAGATTTGGAAGAGGCTGATCCACCCCAGGCTTATTGCTTGGGTCTCCCTGACCCCTCGGGCACAGTGAACCCAGTCCCCTTCCCACAAACGCCCTTTCTCTTACCTTCCTTCGTGCATAAAGCCTTTTGAATCCTTCCAGGAATGACCCTTTTTATCTACTACCAGGCCTATAACTATACCAATAATTTAAGTACTGTAATTTTTCCGAGCATGACATGGATTTGCATACTTACGTATGGTAGTCTTTGACACAGTAAATATTGTTCTCCACATCTACAGTGAAGGGGACCCCGTCCAAACACTCGTTACACACCACGCAGCGGAAGCAGCCGGGATGGTACGACTTTCCCAGGGCCTGTAAGATCTTAAGAGTCACAGCAAGATAAGCGGATGCACAACGACAAGAGATTCTCCCCCCTCCCCATATACTGCTGTGTCTGACTCTTAATAACAACAGTGAGAAAAGCACTTCAGGATGAAAATTACCACTCTGCGGCTCTGTCAGCAAGGGGCCTTTTAAAACAATCAACTTGCTTATTTCCGTGGGTTTCAGTAGGCTCCCAGTAAGGAGGGATGGCTGTGAACGGCAGGAGAAGGCCCGGCAGCCCCAGCTCTGCAGGGCCAGCACTGCCAACAGGAATGAAAAACGGCTTCGGAGGCCTCTGCCTGGAAAAGGCACTGCAGCCAGACACCAGTTACTGGGACACAGGGATAATCACACAACTACAGGCTGCGACAGACAGAATCCAAACCAGCCAGTACTCAAAAAGTAAAATAACAAACTAAACAAATACATAGAAGTCCCTTTATTAATGAAGGATCTGAACACCCCCCCCAGCTACTGTCTGGTTATCACTCGGTCATAGAGGCCCATCAGTTTCTGTTAAAATTCCGTCTGTATCCATGTGTTTGGATACAGATCCATCCATCTGCCCAGGCTTCTCCCACACTGACCTTCCCTACTGCCCTCCCAGGTCATAGCACCAATTGCACACATTTCAGCTAAAAGAGACACGGGTCATAGCTACAACTGCATGCAGTTCAGATACAAGAAACACCTTTGGAAGGTAATTTCAGAAAGTATCTGCTGGCAGCAGTGCTCAGCCTGGAGCCTCTAATAAGCTGGAGATGAAAAACCCCCACAGACCAAGCTGTCATAGCCCTGGAGATGATTCTATGAATAAAGATTAAATCAACAGGAAATACGAAGTGGCGCGGAGGAAAAACGCACAAAGTTAATGTAACCTTTTTCTCCCCTCTACTGAAGGCCTACAGCTCTCTGGTCAGTGAGGGGCACCACGACTGCGCAGCCACCTTTCCTCCCAGGGTGAGCACCAAGGAATTAACCAGACCACTTCGCTCCTGGAGCTCCCAGAGCTGGTCCCCTCTGTCAGGGCACCCTTGCTGACGGGAGATGAGCAGACAAGCACCTGCTGAGAACTTCCAGCTACTGAGCTCCACCACCCAGAGCTGATGGACTCACCTGGGACTCTGCAATTAAGGGCCAGCTCAAAGCGTGCAGGTGGGAACACCCTCCCCCTCCCAGCACCACACAACTCGAGAAATTTGCTCTTGGGCTAAAACAAACAATATCCTTGTCCAACCAGTGGTGCCAGGACAGGAGCCAGGAACCTCCTGAGCGAGGTCTCCCCTCCAGCTCCCACTGCACCTCGGTGCTCGCAACGCAGCAGCTATGCCTGTTTGGCAAAGGGAGGCTCATTTTAAAGCAGGAGGAGAAGAGATTCCCTGCACGCCCTGCACTTCTTCAACACAGAAGCCACTTCATTGTGCTGGGGAAGTTCTGCTTGGGAAGATGAGCCTGAACTCTTCCCACTTCCACCCACTGAGATGGTGCCAGCAGCACCTGACCCAGCCCACAGCCCTTTGATTTTTTTATTATAAAATAACGCTGACTACTGGCTCCCTGCAAAGCCCAGGGGCAAGAATGCATCGTAACTGACGTGGAGCGAGCGGCAGAAGGTAAATAAAGCAAGTCACAGAGCGGGCAACTAACCTCAGGACTAGTGATAGTCCTCTCCTCCAGCCCAGATCCTGTCCCCTTGCCAGAGCCCTTGCTATTCCACTGTCTGACAGAGCACAGCCTCCGTTCCCCTTTTCCATCCTCTCATACGCAGCAGTGCTGCATTTTCCCCCTTTAGTATTAGAATTCTATTTATTTATGTTTTTTTAAACTAGCATGTGACAGAAGAACAGCCTCCTACAATCTCAGGTAGAAAAGGAGCCCAACTGACTGGCTGTACTTAAAGGGCATGGTAGTAATTCAGTTACCTTCAGTTTCAACAATTACCTTGCCAGCAGTGACAGCCAGAGAGGGAAACAGCCCCCCGTCCCACCGTGTGCCCCCCAAAGCAGCTGAAACCCAAATCACCCCCCGGTCAGGAGTTTCGGTCTCTTACCATCTCCATTATGAGGTGTCCACAAACAAAGCACTTGTCCGCTGTCTGCTGAAAACCTGAATACTGTTCAAATGACAGAAAAAAAAAGATTATTAGTAGCCACTCCTCCAGCTGCAGAAATACCTTCTAAGTGAGCGTTGTGCTGTTTTCCAGCCTGTGCTGTATATATGGCGTTAAACCAGACAGTACTTTTGGGAGACCGTGCCTCAGAAGCCTTCACTCTGCTCTTGCCACAAGTGGAGACACCAGCTCTGCCCTCTCATCCACAGCAAGGTTTTTATTTTAAGTTTGGTTTTTATTTTTGAAGCCTACTTGGAGAGTTCGAGTTTGGCATGCTGGAATTAGCTTTAATTCACTCTTTTGGTTGCTTTTGTTGGGGAAGTAAATAACATCAGACTTACCTCCCAAATCCCACTCAAATTAGTGACCAGATGCTCAGATTTTGGCCCTACACTTCACCCAGTGCTACAGGCAGACTAGGAGAATGAAGACAGGCCCAAGGATTTAGCTGCCTCGTGGACACCAAGCTTTTTATCCAGAGAGGCATCTAAAACTCCAGTTGTAGGCACCTGGGCTCCCTGCACAGCGTGGGCAACCTCAGAAGGGTGACACAAAGCCAGTGGTCACCCCATGCCACAGTGGGGACGGGGCAGGACTGGAGGCAGAGCCCCCCAGTTTGGTACTGGGGGCTCGGCAGCAGGGAGACACCGTGCCCAGGTGGGACCCCAGCCGTGCTCCCCACCTGAGTGTTTTTGACCTCAACTTTGTACTTGCGTCCCCAAAGCAGATCCTGCTCCAGATGCCAAAGTCTGCCTTTAGCCCTGTACACAAAAACCATCCCGGTTATCAGGGCAGAGCACTGACCTCCCAACCAGCCACCCTCCGGGCAAGAACTCCAGCCACGCGATTTTGAAACCGGTGTTTGCAGAGGCTGGACCTTCCCCTCGGCCGGGGCAGCCCCCAGGAGCTGCGTGTGCTCTCCCTCCTGCCAGGGAGAGGGTGCCCAGACACCGGGTCGGTACCCACAGGGACACTTGTTCCAGCCATTCAGGCTGTAGCAAAGCTCACTCAAAACACACTGTAGTTGCACAAGATAAAAGGAGGGAACGGGGAGGATGAGCCTAAACTGGACTCTTCTCCCAGACGACGGGTCAACTGGATCCTGCACCTAATGCATCCTCAGAACCTCAGCCCACCAGAGCTCACAGCCTCCTCCATTGCCCCCGCTCCCCTCACTTCAGAAGGCACAGAGTCCCCAGCCCAGAGCTGCTGGGCACTTTCCTTTTTATGGGATTGCAGATCAACAGGTCGGAAACAAAATTTTTGTTGCTATGCACCAAAGTGATTGTGAAGGAAAAGATCTCACAGACGCTGTGACGGGCCCAGACAGTCAGTCCGTGTCCCAGCTCCAGGGTCACCACGCACTAAGGAACACGGCTCCTGCAACCTTAAGAAACTTTGAAACTCCATCAAACGAGAGCAGGGTGCTGGGGAACAAATACAGAGGTGAGCAGCCCTTGCTGGCTGTTTCTGCAAGATACTGGGGTTTTTTTGCCTTTTTCTTCTTCTTACTGCTCAGGATGCTTCTTGGCCGCACTGTGTTTGAGTGACCATCTGGCCAGATCCTTTCCTAAGGCCGGGAACTCGGGGGCTACAGGACACAGGTGGGTAGGTGCTGGTGGCCCAGACAGCAGAGGATTAACAAGGGCACAAACCCAGCTAATTCTAAAATCCTGCTGGAATGAATTTGCTAGTACCATCTGGCTGTCATTTGATAAGGAATGCAAAGGAGCACTTACCCCGCTATTGATTAAGAGGAATATTATTCCCCAGGAACAGAATGGCATAGCGGTCAGATTAATGTCATTTATTGCCAACTAGATTGCCATAAATTACACTGTTTGTCAGAAAGAAAGGTTTTGCTGACACAATATCGCTCTTTATATGACTAACCCTATTAAATTAAAACCATGATTTGTTTTTAACAAGAGAATTGTTATTTGTCAGACACATCCAGAACTGGATTCCCCAATTAAGAAGACTTTGCAAAATGGCAGTAAGTCTAACAGCAGCCACGAAGTGTTCCATGGGCCTGGGGAGCTCTCCTGAACCACCAGCTCCACGCTTCTCCCATCACAGCACCCACCCCAGACATTCCAGAGACCTGACTCAGCGAGACCAGGGCTCTGGAGTCGGCTCTGCTCCTGCTTTAAATCGATCTGGAGTGGAAAAGAGGATGGGATTTTACACGTACAGCTTTGCTCGGGGTGGAAGCTGTGCTGGGCTCAGCTCTTACGCTATACGGGTTCCGTACCTGCCAGTTGTTTCTTTCCATATATAAATATTTTGCTGGCACACCAGCGAGATGATGTAAACACAGGCCAATCTCAAACTAGACAGAAACGTCCAGGAGCCTACAGACAGTCTGTACCCAGGACAAATAATTTTGAACTTTCCCGAATGTTCATTATAGACGCTCATTGAGCATATATAAAAACATTGAAAGAAGTCATTATAAAAAAGAACAGCTCTGAAATTCAAAGCTGAAAACGAAGCCTTACCCTTCACTCTCACTTCTGTGACTTAGAAGTGAGATGCAAGTTTGCCAGGACGCCAAGAAAACACGTGCGTGTTGAAGAGCCGGCGTATTATTTTTCCTGATTTCTTGGTTTGGTCCCAGCTGTTTTCTCCCATATTTCCCTTGTCCTTGACTTCTCTCCCAGGATAATAAAATCTCACTTTACGTGCACAAATCAAGACTTGTGTAATCAAGCTCCCCAATGATACTTATATAAAATAAGACTCTGGGAAACTAAATAAACCTTGAGAAATATGTTAATTATGTTAGAACAGAAGAGTAAAAATAAAGTAGAAGACTTGGCTGGCTGAAGTTTTCTTTTGTTTGCTGCCCACTATACTTTGATTACCGAACGGGCAAAAAAGATCTCTAATGATTCTGTCCAAGAGTCTTTGTTTCAATGCAAGAGGAAAACAAGTCCCCTTCTGTCCTGAATATTTAGGCCTGTTAGTGTCCTCCTGTGATAATCTTGGGGTTTATAACTCTTCTGTCTAATGTGCAATATATCCCAAAGAAATTAACAATGAATTTTGAGCATATAATGAACAATTATGCATGGAGGATAATCCCACCAAGGACTATGTGAAGCGATTTCTCCCGCCTGCCCCCAGCCCCGTAACCGCTCCTGGTTGTCCACCCAGGGTCTTTTAAAGTTTGATGTTCTCATCATCATTTTCCAAAAGCAAAAACATTCAGAAAATAGGATGCCTGGAAAAGGCTCTGGGACCCGAAGTTTCTACCTCAGGGGATGTCGGATCTTTGAGGAGACACGTCTCTGCCTCTCCCCCATCTGCCCGACCGTGCCCAGGAGAGGCTGCTGCCTTCCCTGCTGTTACCCACCCCACCACACAAAACCTTCCTCCTGGAAACAGACCCTGGAATCTCACTCAGGTCCATTTTCTTCTTTGATGAGGATGTTCAAAACCTGCTGAAGACCCGGGGGAGCAGACCCAGGGGGTTACATTTCGGTAGGTGCAGCAGCTGCTGCCCTGGGAATGGGATGGAGCCTTAAAAACCACAATTCCCTGTTCCGGCCCCGGAAAGTCACTGCCTGTGACTGCTCAGCCCGGACCCCAGATTCCTGCTCTTTTATGCTTTAAGGGCTTTTGAGAGGGACGATTGGGAGTTTTTGCCAAAACGCTTCGGGCATTTAATTCTGAAAACTAATTTCTGAATTGGGTGCTATGCTAATAATGTATTCCAACCCCAGGCTGCCTGTAATCCCTCACAGCCTCTCTGCTCCTTGGTTTCCCATTAGCGGAGCATCTGTCTTCTCGCTGCTTCATTGTCTGCTCTCTGCATGGGAGCCTCAGTACATGAGACACAACAATGCAAGAAATTCATGGGATCACGTTCAGAGAGGGAGAGAATATCAAATTTGGTTTCATGCAGATGGGGTTGTTTTGTTGTTGTTTTTGTTGGTTTTTTTTTTACACTCATATTTAAATGCGGCGATTAAATTGAACTGAACAAAATGAGGCCTTCTCAGGCTCAAAGACACGGGAGCCTCCTGGCAGGTGGCAGAGATTAAACTGAAGGAAAATAGTCCAGAACTCTATTCTTCATGTGGCTGAGACCCTTTGAGGTACCCTGTTGCTCCACGTACCCTGTGGTGCCGCCGGCGCGGAAATGCGACCGCAGCAGCTTATCTTCCCGTGTCCCCACAGTGTTGTGTTTGAAGGACACGGGCAGGGCGAGGAGGGACGCCGCGTTCCGAGCAGAGGTAAGAGGGGGCCTGGCCACGCTCAGGGCTCTGCCAAACCTCAGGAATTCGGCGGGCAGCAGGCTCTGCCCCGGCAGCACGTCACAGCCGGCCGGGGGGGAGCAGCCACTGGCTTCCTAGAGAGCCTGCAGAGCCCCACGTGGGACCTTCTTACCCAGATCTTCCCTACACAAACTCCCATGGAAGCTCTGCAGTGACAACGATGAAGAAAAAAGCCTGAAGCAACAACTCACACTCCGCATCCTGCCCAAAATCTATGGACTGGGTTCCTGCTGCACCGCGCCGCGCTCCTGCCACCGGTCACTCATTGTCACCACCACCAGCTATTAATCACACTGCACAACAAACTGCCTACCTTAGAACATACCTCCCTGGAAAAAAAACTAAAATTATCTGGATTCTATTCAAAACAGTTGTTGAAAGATTTCAATTCAAAACATAACAGCAACTAATACCAACGTTTCCTACAGAAGTGGAAACACACCACTTTCTCACAGGGTTTTTTTTTTCCTAGTTCTCCCATAGAAAAAAAAAAATTAATGCTGTCTGCTTACAAGTGTTTGGCAGGAGTTACACATAATTAGAGAGAGCTCCAGTTCTTTTAAGTGTGCTTCAGTTATTGTAATTTACTTTTCAATGTAGTATTAAGAAAAATGGGATAATGTGACTTTTTGGATCGCCATCTCAAGAGGAAGCAGGGGAGTGACTGTCTGGCCTGGAACCAACTGGACTTTGTAACACGCTCTTCAAAACATTCCACAGTAGCGAAAGCCCGTCCGCAGTGATACATCTCAAGAAAAACCCCATCTTTGTCTTTCCTTGTCTGTTTTGTCACAGCCCAGAGAGCGGCTCCTGTGACCCGTCCAACACTCCGTAACCCACTTCAGGAAACGCTGAGCATCCTTTCAGCAATCACAGCCCCTGCTCACACACGGAGCTTCATCACGTTCCCTTTTCCTTCGTTACCACCCGGCTCTAGGCACTGCCCGCCTGTTGCTCCTTTATCAACTCCAGAGATTTTTCCAGACTCCACTTTCAAAACACCTGATTTTCCTCCCCTGGTAACCTCGCCGTGCAGCGCCCACATTCAAGTCCAAAGTGCAGAGGCCAATCAATGTCTGACTATCCCTAAATATTTTGAAATGTCAATTTTAAGCCCATCTGTAGGTTTGATGCAAGACTTCAGGATACACCAATTGATCACCTTCACCATCAGATTTGTTTATAAAGCAAACCCAGGACCACTGGCATGCTACAAACTTAGGGAAAGCTAAAGAAGGTAAGTATTCAGATTTCTTTTTTGGCAGGGAGGGGCTGGAGCAAGACACACACAAGTAACAACACGAAGCTCACTCCCTACGTACGGCAACACGCTGCGATCTGCTCGCCTTTGTTTCAGCGACAGCCCCTGGGAGCGCAGCAAGGCCCGGCATTCCTGGTGCCTCTGGAAGCACCTCCCATCCCAGCCCGGAGCTGTCGGTGCCTCGAAACCAGCACGGACCTCCTTAGGCTTCTGTGCACCGGGAGCATTGCAGCAAATCCCCTTCCAAGCTCTGACTGCATCGTTCCATTAAACATAGCAATGAAGACCCCTGTCTGCCTGGAGGACGCCTTTCCATAGCAAGTCTCCTGAATGCAACATCCTCACGGTGATCCCGAGCTCCATTTGCTCCCTGATTCCCATTGGATATGAAATGGACGCAAGCTGTAACTTTAATAATTTACCTTTTTTTTCTGAGAGTCTCGCCCAGCTGACGTGCCAGTCCCAGCGCTCCCCTCCCACGGGGCATCTCCCAGCATTTACACTCGCCGAGATGGAAAATCAATCCCCTGGCTCCAGCTGACACCAGCTTCCATTACACGAAATAAAACCCCTCTTCCTAGAGCCCCAGCAAGTGAGATGAGCCATTCCCCACACTGCCAGCCTTGGAATCACAGAACGGTTTGGGTTGGAAGGGACCTTAGAGACCCCCCAGTGCCACCCCCTGCCCTGGGCAGGGACACCTCCCACCAGCCCAGGTTGCTCCAAGCCCCCTCCAACCTGGCCTTGAACCCCTCAAGATGGAAAACACCTCAATGCTGGAAAACAGCACGTGCACAAACTGACAAGAACAGCTTCGTTAATGCATAAATATTGCCATCACAGCCATGTCCAGGGGCCCAAGTTCGGGTGAGGGTCCTGCTGTGTTTGGTGCTACAGGAGGTGAAGGTGCAAGCCCTGCCCATCATCCCGCAGGCCCTCTACTGATTCCCTGTCCCTTTCCCCCACGAAAAGCCATCATTGCCATTTGTCACCTCCCTCCCAGCTCTGCACACCCTGATCCCTTGATATTTTTAAAATCATCGAGAGTTTTACAGTCGTGGATGTAAGACAAGCCCTCTATGGCAACTCTTGCGTGGCAGTGGCCAGCTGTGGAGCAGAGGCTACAGCTGTAGCAAGGGGGAGAGCTGGCATGTGCAAAACGAAGTGTTCAGAGCCTTCTCTTTGAGGATTTTTGGGCAAAGCCACAGATCTTCCCCCAGTCCTACTCACTGCAATGGGTGAACAGCTTTAGACGAAACTTTCAATGTCTAACAGCAGCGAAGTCGGCCCGAGGCAAAAACCTGGCATGAAGAAGTTCAGCCTAAATGAATAAATTTGGCAAAGTTATAAGCCAGTGAAAGAGATAATCTTAAAAGGGGAAGTTTTGGATGACCTTAATGCTGTGCACTGCAGCTCATGGTGTCTCTAATGCTCATGGTGTCTCTAATAGGTTATTTCCAGAGCATCTGAGTGTCTTCCAGTAGTGCATTAAGCAACGAAACTAACATCTGTCATGAGGTTCATTTTCCCTCTCATCTCCTCCCTGGAGGGAAATTCTCTCATTTCTTAACCTCTCCTGGACCCCTGCTCAATAATGTTCATTACCTCAAGAGAAAAAGGAAAAGCCTATCAAAAAGGAAAAAAAAAAGAGAGATAATAGATCTAAGATTCAGGCTGCTTTGGTGACATTTTAGAAGTCTTTTTTGCCAAGAAAAACAGTAATTTCTTTTAAACTTCTTTACGTGGTATTTAAGCATTGAAAAGGAAAGACAAATTAAAGTTATTGAGCTATTTTTCCTTCACCCATGATTATGCAGCAATTTATCAACAAAATGGAACCAGAACCATCTGACTGGGATTATTTATTATAGAGTAAGGCATTTATTTTCTGTTCACTTCACCAGGAACAGTGTCCCTGTTATGGCCAGTTACCCATCTGTGTCCTCAGAGCTTTCAGGCAAGGATTAAACTGTCGTTTGTTTTATTTCCTTTCATGCAGTAACCATCCTAACAGGGCTCGGGATCCTGCTGGACTTGCTGCCTTAAGGTGGCATGACAAAGAGCGACTGGAGCTTCCCCGGAGCTAAAGCAAAGCAGCGAAAAGTTTGGGGGGTTTTGTTCTTTCTACTCCTTACGCTCACGCAACATCGCTCCCCAGGTCTCCTACTGGAAATGGTGTGGATGAGGCAATCTCTGCGCCAGGCTCAGGCAGAAATGGAATTATCCTGGAACTTTTTTTTTTTTTTAAATTCTGATTCATTCACTATATGTAGCCAATATGGCTTGGGAAGGTGCAGCTCATCAGGGCTGGACGCAAAACTGCCAGCCCTTGCCCATGCCCCCGGCCGGCACCACACTCGCCAGGACATCCCTTCCTCATCTACAACTCCCCAGCTGGGTGTAAAAACTTCCAGCACTTCTTCCCTGGAAAGAATGAGCAAGACAAGCCACCTGATTCCGAGGAAGATAATCTGTGCCCTCAGTGAGAGCAAACACGTGGGAGAAGTGTTTGCTAGAAGAAGGCACCTTGCGGCTGCTGCCCCAGGTTGGGGGGTGGGTCTGCGCCGTGGAGAGCTCCATGGCTGCGCAGTGGAAATTGCTCATAACCAACAATAACATCTACGTCCCTCTAACACCTTTCGTCCAGAAATCAAAAGCACTTTTCAAAGTGAAGGGCTGGATTTTGAATGCTTGTGGCCAGCACCTCCTCACACCACACCTGTAGGGACCCGTTTTTTGCAAACAACTTGGTAGCCAAAGCTCTCTGGCACTCACTAGCCTTTAAGTGACAACTGAGCTCTCCTAGAAGCAGCATTTGGCTGCTGAAGTGTGAAGAGCCTCCGGGGTGGAAGAGACACTCCCCAGGGTGGCAGCCACCAGCTGTGGGCAACCCTCAGAAGGGACAGGTTAGCCAAGGAGGGCGAGCCCTGCTCCTACAGCAGGTGCCAAATACCAAAGAACAATTTGGCTTAAAAACAACAGAAAAGAATGCCTGAAATCCTACTTACTAGGAAGTCTTCTTCACAGTACACCTTGCCATTGGTAGGCTGAGAGTAAAGGTGTGACACATGAAGGCAATTACGGCTTAGATTTTAGGAATTTCCATTATTTTTATGGATTGCATTGATGAGAAATGCATTTGTGCACACTGAACTGCCAGCAACATTTTTGTTGTGGGATATATACTTTGAGTAATTCTTTTGCAAAAAGGCATGGTCATATATTCATTAGAAATGAAAAGTTGTTCTGGAAGACCCAGGCTTCTAAATGACTGGTATATCAATAAATAAAGGTGCTATAAATTCAACATGGCCATTCTCCAATTCATCATCCCCTAAGCTAAAATACATCATTCCTCTCTAATTTCAATTCCCAGCCACCCCGTCCTCTTAATCTTAATTATGAATGGTCTGCCACTTATCAAATCATTCTCTGTGCCCTGCACAATCCTCACCCTTAATTGCACAAATATTTTATTTTTGGAACAACACAGCTCAGCAACAAGCTTCATTTTTCTTTTCACGACTCGGCCTCTATTAAAAGTAAAGGGTTTATAAAAGCTCTGGGCGCACGGAGAGAAAACGAGTTGCTCCTCGGTGGCTAACAGTTTTTAGCTAATCACAATGCGGCCCCACATCACTCCGAGCGGGGCCGTGATTAAAACTGCGCCGGCAACAAAGCGACATTGTGCGGCGCGATGACGTGCTCCGGTCAGAAACGTCTCCCCTCTCGTTATGATTGGTATTCCCCAGATGTTTGACTTCGAGCTGGAGCTTGGCAGGCGAGGCTTTGTGGCTGCCGTTCAAGTCCCAGGCTCCAGCAGCCCCAGTGTTTATCCTCACAATTTACACTTTGCCACGGCTCACGGGGAGCTCCGCGCCGGGTGCCGCAGCCACCACTTCAAACCCAGGGCCTCGTCCTGCCCTTGCCGAGTCAGTGGGAAGCTCTTCCCCATTCCAGGGCTGGCAGGAGGCCCCAGATGACTAAACCTTCTCCCAAAGCAAACAAGCCAACACAAAAGAACAATTTGGTTTAAAAACAATAAATAAATTAAAAATCTTACTTACTAGGAAGTCTTCTTCACAGTACACCTTGCCATTGACGTTGTAGAACGCTTTTCCTCGTAGTCTTCTCCCTGTCAAAACATGGTACTGTCAGGATTTTGCGCTCCATATTTTTTGGGCTTGGAATTTTGGGCCATTCAGGGCACAAAGTGGGAAGCCCATCCCGCTGTGCCCATCCTCAAGGCCGCTTCCCAGCCCCTGCCGAGGGTCAGCTCTCGGCTCCATCCTGCCCTAACAAACTCCTCATTAACCAGACGTTACTTCTAAGAGCAGGATATGGAACCCGGATGATGCCAGTTACTGGAAAATTTGTAAATCTAAACCCCAAAATGTTTATTCTGGGGAGAAAAGGCCCATTTGTAAACTGAGACAATTTTCTTAGCATGTGAAATCACAGCAGGCACTGCAATCGACGCATTCATCTCTAAAGGCCCAACCATAGGACAGTGCATACGGATGTTCCTGTCACCTTTAAAAATATTTATGCATTAATCCACTTAATTAATTAAAACAATAAATTAATCAAGCAGCTCCACCCCCAGCTCCCTGCGATACCGAAGCAGTACAAGGCACACGTGATGGTGGGAAGGGCAGAAAAATCCCACTGAAACCAAGAGATTTCATTTTCAAGTTTGACCATTTGCCTTTTCATTAGCGCCTGGGGAACTCCATGGACTCAGCCCACGATCACCGTCACCCGATGGCTCCGAAACACACAGCGGGCTCCAGAGAGTCCCGAGGAGAAGGATTAAACCCAGGAACTCAGAACCCACCGAGCCCAACCAGTTTTTGGATACAGCAGACCAGAGATGTCTTACACCAGAGCCGCTCCCCCAAAAGCAGCACCGTTTTATCAGCGTAAAACCCAAGAGGGAGAAGGGAAACCGCACTCGTCCTGACTCACCTCATCTCCACCCCCTGCCGGGGTCCCGCTGGCCAAGGCTCCCAAACATCTGGGTGCCCCCACAAGCCCTGGCGAGCAGAGGGCACGGTGGCTACTGCCATCGGCAGAGACCCAGAGCAAGGAGGAGGGCAGGAGACTCTGCATTTATGTGATGAGCCCTCCCAGGTCACAGCTGAAGCTTTAACTCCACCAAAGGAGCCCAGCCATCTCCTGCCGAGGCAGCTCCACCACAAGCCCGGCCGACCTCAGCGGTGGGTTTGACTGGGAGGGCGGGCGAGCAGAGCCAGCTGGCCAGGGACAGAGGGGCAGGAGCGCTCGCCACGCTTTCCATAAACAACGCCGAGGGAAAATATGATTAATTTTCAGGGCTTGAAAAGTGCCTTTTACACGTTGCCGCTGTGATCCGATCCTGGGAAAGAGCGCGTGGCACAAAGAAGTTGGGACCGGGGCTGATGCTTTTGGGAAATCACATGCTGCATGTGGTCGTCTGGCGGTTTTACTGTCGTGGCCGAGGGAAATGCTTCTTTTGTGTGCACATTCTTGGGCTGTCGATCTCACGGGCTGCTGTCTCCATACTGCTGGTAGGTGGAGTCAGCCCCTGTTTGTCTTTCCAGCCGCCTGGTAGCCCTGGTGGGGACCAGGAGCCCGGTGGCGTGGGCAATGCACTGGGACTGTCCCATCACCTCAGAGGCTCTCCAGTAAATCTGGTCCATCCTACACATCACCGAAACCAGGGAGGGGCTGGTTGGGACAGCAATCGGGGGGTCCCGGGGCCTCTCTCGACTGATGCAGGAGCAACCACCTCTAGATCTTCCCTCCCTACCCAAGCCATTTTTAAACCTCTCCAGCAAAAGGTAAAGGGGAGTGGAAGGGAGGGAAGAAAAGGAAAGAGGCCAGAGTGGGTTTTTAAGGGACACATTGGCTCTGCCAGACCCAGCCTCAACACACGACTTCTCTTTAGATGGTGGAAATGAAGCGGCTGCCCCCAGAACGGGGACGTGCTGGGGACGTGCCGATGCTGCGCTTCCACCTCGCTCTCACCCACTGCCCGTGGAGATGTTCTGGACCCACTCCCAAAAGTATTTATGTTATCTGATTGCCCTGTGACAGGGAACCCCTCACTGCTCTCACCTGCCCCCCGACACACAGGCAGCCCCCCCAGACTCAGGCAGCCCCCTCCCCAGCCACCCGGTTGACGGGGCCGAACCAGCTCCCTTTCACACACCACTCACAGAGCAACACCCTTCCAAAACTGAGGAAAAATACCACTTTCCCCGATTTTGCAGCTGAAAAAACCAAGCTACCTATTAGGGAAACAACTTGCCTAAACTCATAAAGCAGGCAAGCAGCTTGCTCACATGATAATTACTATTATTAGCAATAATTAATAAGATAGACAGGCCTTTTACCTCAGAGGAATTTCATTCGGGGATCGCACAGTAATTATCTCATAAACAAGAAACAGCAAGTTATCACACAAATAGCCACAGCTGCACTAGACTGGCTACTCCATACTGCATTTCAGAAATAAAATGCAAAGACATATGTTCCACCACCAACCCAGCCAGACATCACCCTGCCACCGACCAGGACCTGCTGCTCGGCCGTCCTTCCAATGGAAGCTTACTATTTGCTCTTGTAACATCAGAACAAAAAAGGCAAGAGTTTCTGACAAAACTTGACGCAACTTGCCGATAGCTCATTACAATAATAACGGGCAGTTGTAACAAGTGGAGTTCACGGGGTTTTGCTGCTCTCCTGCTCCGACTGGAGACCCACCTGAGCCTTGTTTTACTGTAGAAAATGAAGTTTATGCACTCAAGGTGACAACAAACACTTGTTGCAAGTAACTTCTAGATTTCTGGGCTGACACCCCGACATTTGAGGGGTAGCGAGCAGCAGGGTAAGGGGGTTCCACCACCCCCGGGGGGAGGCAGAGACCTCACAAACGCTCCAGTGAAGAGTGTGAAGTTTCAGGTAGATAATCTAGCAGTCAGTAAAATGCAAGCTAGAAATCACCCCTGCCCCAAGGAACAATCGCAAGTGGTGTTTGCAACCAACATGACAAACATCCAACAGACAGTAGGCTTTTGGAACTCTTAAAAAAATACATAAAATCAGAATCAGCTCTAGGTTTTTAACATCAGTTTTCATCACATTTAAGCAGTTTATGACTCTCTGGTATTTAAATGTGCCTAGCCATTACTGCCTGCACATTTTTTCTCCCCTACGTGTTGCAAACTTAAAAGGAAGGAACAGGAGAGCTGTGGCTTTTAGCAAAGGACCCAACTCAAAGGCTGGGACACAAGCTGTCCACAACTGCCCTCTCTACTCCCCCCAGCACAGCACTGGGTGGTGAGAACACACCAGCCAGGGAGCCAAGACGGGGCAAAACTTTTTCCAGCACCGTTTCAAAAGCTGCTCCAGGCCCTCATGGAACAAGACAGGGTTTGAGGGTCCTGAGGAGGTGCTCCCAAAGAGCACTGAGTGTCCTGCCCCCTCCTCACCAGCCATGAGGAGCATCCCCAAAGCCCCCCCAGCGCCGCGGGCGGTGGGTGTTTGCCTGTTGGGAGATGAGCTTATCAAGCGGCAGCCTTCGGTGGTGGATCTCCAGCCTCACACGGGATGATGCAACCGCATCAAGGGCTCACCCCCCCTCACCCCCCCGGCCTTTGTAAGACAAGAGATAGCAATGTCTCACTGTCACAGCATGGTTATTAGACCTAATTACTGTTTGCAGCGCCCTTTGAAGTTGAAAAGTGCCAAGCATTATTATAATATTTTAAGTACTTTGATGATTAAAAACATGCAACCGTTGGGTAATAACGATGATTTACTAGTATTGTAGCGTAAGCAAGTTCATGTGAGGAGCCTGCGCTGTCTCAGTGCCCGGCGCTGCTCAAAAGCAAACAGCTCCCCTCTGACATAATGGGAATGTGCAGCCCCAGCCTCCCCTCCCAGATAACGCCTGCCGCATCCCCCGGGGCTGCCGCAGCACTGGGAAAACACACCAGCATCCCGGGCTACCACAGCACTGGGAAAACACACCAGCATCCCGGGCTACCACAGCACTGGGAAAACACACGAGCATCCCGGGCTACCACAGCACTGGGAAAACACACCAGCATCCCAGGGCTGCCACAGCACTGAGAAAACACACCAGCATCCTGTCCTGTCCCTCCTGCCATCACCATCTCTCTGGTGACACGCAGCCTTTCTCCTCACTTCACGCGGGAAAGTGTCAGCGTTAGAGGACACAAAGTGTGGGGTGACTAGTAGTGTCCTCCTTATTTCTAACACGGAACAAGAGGATTGTATTTTAGCAAGAAAATGTATTTAAAACCTCCCTGTACGGAGTGCAACTGAAGAGTTCAGCTGTAACTATCACTGCTAAAGGTAAGAAATTCATTAAAGCAGAGCTAATTAACAGCCCTAACTATCTCGTCCAGGGGTCCCAGGGCTGTGACAGGGCCATAGCCTGGCCCAACCAGGGCTCCCCAGGGCCATGACAAGGCCATCACCCAGCCTGTCCAGGGGTGGTGGGTCACTGGGTGATCTCAGGTACCTGAGGACACCATCTGACAGCACGGGGCACCACGATGGGAACCACCCTCCCTCCACAGCCTGGAAAGAAGCTCTGGCATGGGCACTGCAGCTTCTCCAGCCACCCAAGGAGCAACCCGCTCTGGAGAGCACCTGTGTGCTCCCCAAGTACAGATAGAAACTGGGACCAGAACAACTCAAAAGCTGAAGGACAAGTGAAACCTTCAGGATCCGATCTATTCTCTACACCCCCCCCAAGGTGGACAACTACTGGTTCTGAAAAGCAGAAGCTAAACTTTAAGTCGCCAGATGATTCCAGGAGCTGAAACTTCAAGAGATATTGGCCAGGTTTTACAAACACAGAATAAATCACTGAAAGTATTAAGTAATAACAACCCACCTCTGCTACCCAGCCACCTCACGATACAACAGATGCAGAATTTCACCCAGGAGATGTTTCCTTTCACTTCGTAGAGGAGCTTCGCCTGCCCAGGAATTGAAGATGCACCAAAAGGAAACAAAAAGCTTCCAATGCTTTTTCTTTATTTGTCACTGTTTCTCCTTTACTGGCATCTATTTTTGGGCCTGCAGTTCTCCATCCCTCCCTTGGACTGATGGCTGCCT